CACGCATGCTATGACATATTTCATACACTTCACATAAACATGAAAAGCCTTATTATGCCCTCTTCCCTCGATTGGAACGTCATCATCAATAAAAACTAGGTAATCATTAACATGAGTGTGACTAATAATTCATTCCAACTTATCCAATGATATACCTTATTTTACATGTGCACCACTCAATATCTTCATCAATATATTCCTATGAGTGTCTGAGTGAATTAACAATTCTAACAAAGAAATTCTAGATGACATACAAGTCAACTAGTCTACCACCTTATATTCACTTTGTTGAATAAATTTCAAAAATTCGCCCGCCTTTTCATCGATTATTTCTTTTTTCTCTTTATGATCTTTCTTCTAATCCCTCTTAGGCTCCTCTTTATTTTGGAACTCCTTCTCTTTCAAAAAAATCCTTTGCTTTTTCAAGAATAACTTTTTCATTCTTATGTCTTGCCTGCTCCCTTCTTAATTCTTGTGGTTCAAATAGGCAACCACTCCTCGTTATTCATTCAATCCCATTAATATTGTCTACAATGGATGTAGATGCCCTAGTAGATTGCTCTCCCCATTTCACAATACGAACACCATATACCTTTAAGGAACTTTATTTTCAGTTTTATATGGAAAAGAGCAAGGAGCTTGTATCACAACAGGTTGTCTTCCTTGTGACATTTGTGAAGTTTTGGTATAATGAAACACCAAAGACCTAAGTCCAGTTATACTTCGATCTTCTCTTGTTTAAGCAAACATTTCCCTCGCCTCTTCATCCTTGCAACATATTGTATTATATTCATATCCATCAACCCTTGTAGTATTTGCTTGAATTCCATACAATCATTTATAAAATGCTCAACTCCTAGATGAATATTACATCAATTGTTATAATCTACTTTACATTTCAACAATCCAAATTCACACAAAGATTCAAAAAATAAATCTCATTGAACTTCGTATCTTCCAAACATCTCTCACCACTCGATGTCCTTCCAACTACACTATCGCATTGATTGAAGTGTTCCCATATCCAGATAAAGGGTTATTTTCAACACTCAACTTATCCTTTGGAACGTCAACCATCTGGAATCTAATAATGATTGTACTTTGAATTTTAAAGGTAAACATCTCTCAGTTGAATGCTCAATTCCTCCTCCATGATAATCACACTTAGTATCAGGGTTATAATTTTTGGGATAAGGAGGTTGCACTAGTTTCATGGGACAAATATGCACTAACTTATTATGAAGAAGATTTGGCAACAATTATGTATAGGTTACTAGAAGAAGGGTAAAACAAACGAAATTATTTTTTGTAATTTCCCCCTAATTAACATCATTCTTCCAACCTTGTTTGGGATGATCATTGTGAGCAAATTATGCCAGGTAAGAATTATGAGCATGATAAAAACCTTTCTGATTTTTCATTGGGTGATAGGTTGATGGTGTATTAGCAACAAATGACCATTGAGTAGATTGTTGTGAATGATTATGATAATGAGGTTGGGTATAAGTCTCATATCCTACATTAGTTTCTCCTTATTTTTTCTTTCTAGCATTGAACCCATGCTTCTTTATATGGGAATTTCCAACCAACCCATAAGTAATCTTCCCACTCTTCAAACCTACTTCGACCCTCTCACCAATTACACTAATATAAACAAAATTTGAAGATATATTTCCTATCATATGATCATAGAAAGGAGATTGTAGAGTGTTTATAAACATAATCACCATTTTCTTCCAATACAAGGTGGTTCCACCTGAGCAGCTACCTCCCTGGTCTTTGAGCATATTCCTTAAAAGTCTCATTCTCTTTTAACTATATTATGTAACTATAATATGTAAGATCCTTCTTGTAAATGTCATTAGATATGTGATTAGTATGAGAATCTTGTCTTTTTTAATATGTTTAAACTCTCATATGGTCCTCATATTTGTTGAGGAATCTCAAGTGGGGTCCTCTTGTTGAAAACAATCTCAATTGGGTCCTAAATTTTGTAAAATCGTAACAATTAAGTCATTTCCGTTAAATGGTCAAAAACAACGTCAAAGTATGCTGATGTGGTGATGTTGATTTGGATGATTTTATTATGTGGAAAATTTAAATTATGACTTGTAATGACAATTTTAAATTATGTCTCTGATTCTAATTAAATAATGCAATTAAATCTCCTTAACCCTGATTATCCCAATTAGCTTTCAAAAAAATTAATTCACCTAATAACCCTAATTAGAAACACCTTTTCCCCAAATTTGGTTTCCTCTTCTTCACGCACAAACCCCATCAGAGGGTCCTTCGCTGTCGCGCAAGGGCGACATTCTCCTCCTTCCTCTTTTTCGTTTTGGTTTACTAACAGGGAACTATTCTTCTTTCTCATCTTTGCTTCAGGTTCGCGCATCCAATCCAGCTTAGGGTTTTCTTCGCCGCGCAAGAGGTGATTGGGAGAGCTCGATGACCTGGTAAAGGGGCTCGTGTTTCTGGATATTTGCTTCGTAGAGCTCGAGATGCGAAGATGGAGGTAGTGCACTATTTGAGGGTTCTTCCTTGCGATTAGGATTCACGAATTTGGGGTTTTCTATGGTGTGATTTTGGGTTTTTTGTGTTTCTATTTTCTCTTTGTAGGAACTGAGGGATCCACTCCCTTTTCAATCTTCATATACCCAATAATCAAGGTTCGTTTTCATTGCAAATGCACAATATATGTAGGGTCACCACTGCCCTCATTGGAGTCCAATACGAGCCAGAATCATAGCGATGAAAAAGGAAGGAGTCACACCTCTTCCAAATGTGACATGCACACTTTCCTCTCCATTGTCGGTGACGGGTTGTAGAACTGATGCCTTAAATGTTGTAGAAAATAAGTTCCCGTACGTGAAACAAGAAGATGAAAGCCTAAACAGAAGAGCGGCTTTGTCGACTATTTCGCTCACGATTGCGCGAAACGGCCATGGTAGCTTCGAGGTTTCACGTTTTTTTTAGTGTTTGATGAAGGAGACGCCCTCTATGCGAGGAGATGAAGAGGTTGAAGGAGAATGATGCTCTAAACCATAATTAGTTCAAAAATCCCTAATCTAAAGTGCCCAAATTCCTAATCTATTATTTTAACTACAATGACCAATTACATTTTGCCATGTCAAAAACTAATACACCATCTTAATTTAAATGTTAATTCCACGTAATAAAGCCATTAACATCAACTATTTACTGTGCAACACGTAAGTAACTCTTGACGTTGTTTGTTACCAATTAACAGAAATGACATAATTATTACGATTTTACAAAACGTATGACCTAATTGAGACCGTTTTCAACAAAAGAACCCACTTAAGATTGCTCAACAAATATATAACCTTTTTTTAAAATAAAATAATAAAAGTACCATGTTGTTTAATTTTTAATAGGACAAAGTCCTCGTAAATATGCTTAGGTGTTGTGCAAAATAAAATAAAATAATTAATTGTTGAATTAAAATAAAAAAATATAAATTAGGCAAAAAAAAGAAAAAATTAAAGGAATAATAAATGCTTAATATATAGTGAAATTAAAGTGGAAGTGTATGTTTGGTAAACCAGAGCTTATTTGGCTGCATTTTCTTTTGTTTTTGCATGAGACTTTTGTTATGGGCCAAATTTCGAAACCCATAACCTTAAAGGGGTAGTGAGAGTGAGGTGCTCATTTCCTCTTTTTTTCTTTTTCTATTTTTGTTTTCCGTCTTCCCTCTTCTTTTTCTTCTTCTTAGCAAACCATAGTGTTAACGGAAACAAGGGTGAGGGCGTGAGAGAATCCAAGGCTCAAGTGAAGTAACGGAAAGGAGAAATTAAGAGGATGAGAGGTGCGGTTCGAGAAGAGTTATGGAAAAGGGGGAATCCAAGGTTGGTGGAGTAATTTCTAGGGTTGGGAATTTAATTGAGAGGTCGAAGAAAGAGCCTATAAATTGGGAGAGTGTGCGATTGAGAAATACACACAAGAGCAATTGATTTTTAGAGTGTAACAGTGAGGGTTTGAGTGAAAGGGAGTCGTGTGAGGTTGCGGAGCTCGGTGGAAGTTTTGTGCAGTGAAGAAGATCAAATTCCAGGTATGGGGAGCTAAAACCAATTGTTCTTGATTTCATGTATTTTGTTTGAGCTGTGGTTCGATTCTTGAATCATGAGGTTATTCTTGAATCATGAGGTTGGGTGTTATCATATCTGAAGGGAGTATTGTGTGCTTAATTGTTAGAACGATGAAATGGAGTAATATATTGTTTATGAAATTAAATGGATAGGGAATTGATATTGGAGATTCTACGACGTGAATTAGAGGAGGGTTGTATGAAATGGGCAATTGATATTGCATTGGAAATTGTTGTGTTATAATCTGGAAATTTGGAAACTTGTATGATATCGAGGCTTATAAAAGTGAATAATTGGGCATATTGTTGAACCAGTATTTTCTATTTTAATCTGGAATGTTTTTGGTATATTGGAATAAATCTTATGGTTGTATATTGATAAAATGAAGTGGGAAATGATGGGATTTGGATATTAAAGAATGATTGAGTTGAAAGGTTAAATCCTACCAATATAATGTGAGTAATGTGAGTTGCTATTGTTTCATATTAACTTTAACTGGGACAAATTCTGAAGGTATATTAATATGTGTATTGAACCAAAGGTGAACCCAAGGTAAGGGAGTGGTGACTGTAATTCTGAATTAGAATGTGCATTAGTTTGTCAATGTTATGCAGGATGGAAATGTTAGTCTGATGAAAAAGATATATGCTATGAGACGTGAAACATATGAATGAACATGTGTTAGACTTAACTATATAAGAAGGATTGTATGTACTGTTATATTTTGATTGAAATGATTAACGTAGCTAAATTAGTTAAACTTGGAAATAATAGGCACCAGTATATTTTTCAATCTGTTTTGGGTAGGTGGTAAGTGAGTTCAAGCTAACTTGTATGACATAGATTCTAGTGAGACAAAATTATGAAAAATGGAATAAGGGTTGAAATAAAGTTCAGGTCGAGCTCAGGTCTACACAGTTCTGTTCAATTTAAGGCCACCGCAATCGTCTGCTTTGTTCAGGTCGAGCTCCACCATCAACCTGTGTTGTGCTGTCTAAGTTTCACTAAACCATTGGCTGCACCGCTGTTTGCATTGACATAATCTCTAGTCGGAAGCATTGCACAACCACTGTGCTCTGTTTTGCCGCAATATGAGATTGATCTCACAGCTCCGAACCTTCCTATTCTTTTCTTTTCTAAATTGATTTTAAATTTTTTTAGCTATTCTCTCATTAGGTCATTCAAATTGGGGAAGAGAACGTGCGTGATTTGTGGAGAAAACAGCAGTGAGTGAGAGCTGCGGGGAACCAAAAAGGGGTTTTATTTTCTTTTTATTTCTTCTTCTGAACCGAGAGAAACCCAACCCTCTTTTTTTTTTTATTTGCTTTTCTGAAGACTTAGGGTTTGGGGAAGAGGGAGTCATGGTAAGAGAGAGGAAGGGAGAGTATTCAATACCCAACCCTTAACGTGCATGATTCGTGGAGAAAACAACAGTGAGTGAGAGTCGAGAATGGAAAGGGTTGATCGAGTTTTTTAAAAATGCCGAATCGCAAGAGGGTTATTCCGAGAGTAAATTGGGGAAATATTTAGGGATTTCAGGGGTTTTGAGGGCAAGCACGGTGAGCGAGTATATAGAGGCTGGGAAAGGTGAGTAAGGCTGGGAGAAAACAAAGATAATCGTGAGCCAATGAGAAAGTGAAGGTTGAGCATGGGAGGTTCAGAGAATTCGTGAGGAGAGTTTTGTCGTGCGGGAAATCGAGCCAGGTATGGGGGAGCTAACTTGTTTGTTGTGTTGATAATTGCACGAATATGTGATTGATGATGAAATACAGTTTTCTTGATAATCTATGATTTTGAATTCATGCTCTGTTTTTGATATGGTGCTGCCTTTGTTATTATTGTTTCCACTTTTTGCTGTATTCTGAGAGCTAATTGCAATTTGAACTGCAATGCTTATAATAATTGGATATTCTGTGTGTTCTAATTTGGGTTGCAATAATGCGTGGAAAGGTTGGTACCAGTTGATACTTTATTTTGCCCTGATTTGGGTTAATATATGTTATCTTCTTGGCTGTGAAGGAATTGAATTTCGTGAGGAGCTTGTGACCTTGGCTGTAAATATATGTTATACTTTATTCTGTCTGACCTTATGTGATGATTGATTCACACTCTGTTTGATTGCATTAGTATGATTACGTGGTGTTATGTACTCGGAAGTTCTGGCGTATTGATCGCTTACGTTGCTGCACTTATATATTTTGGTTGTTTGATTGTTAAAGCTAGCTTGACTGGTGTGAGAATAAGTCTGTTTGGCTGTCCTTGTGTGATGTATGATGGTAGGGGTTGTTCGAGTCCAAGGGTATAATCGGTATCGTTATAGCTGGTTGTGGTGAGTGCCAATGAGTCATGAGATAGCTAGTGTGCTACTTTTGTCGTTGTACGTGAGTATAAAGTGGTCATTAATGAGGTTTTGTAAATTCCCGTGAGTGTTAAAGGTCTTTCTTTTGCCTGTGCGATGTAGTGGAAAGAGACTCTCTTCGCCTGTGCAAGGTAGTGGAAGAGTTGGGTTCGAGTGTTGCACCTTTTTGTCTATGTGAGGCAGTGGGGAGGGAAAAGATGTTTCGTCCCTTAGCTCTGGCTCGTTGCTAAGTACAATGTCTGGTGTGAGATTCATCGAAGTTGTTACCTGTAAGTCCTTGAGAAGTAGGGGTGACAGGTTTGGTACTGTGATGGCAGGATGACTTGACCACCCTGTTGTGGATATTAGAGTGTTAGAAGAGTTGAGAATAGATCGCTAAGAGCATGAAGTCATGAGTGATCGTGTTTTAGTCACTAATTGTTATTTGGAGAGTTATTTCTTTGTTTATTGTTTTGCATGTTCTTATTTCTCTATGTTATTACTGTTAGCTCATCCTATTGTTTGTGTGTTGCGATAATCGTATAACGTTTGTGCTATATGGGAGCAGGTGATGATGTCGTTGTTACAGATGTTGTGTAGGAGTGATGAGAGGGCGAGGAAGATTAAAAAGGGGAATTTTGTCAATTATTGTTTTGAATAAGGCTTTCGGATTCATTTGACGACTTTTTATTGTATTATTTTATAATTTATATTTCAAGTAATAAGTCCTCTTTTTAATTGATTTTTGAAATTGACTTTATCACGTTTTTTCGTAACACTTGAAATTGGGGTGTTACAAATTTCATTTATGAAATTGAGTAATTGGATATATAAAGATTATTTTGGATTTGTGTGCTCTCTCAGATTGGGGTTTCAGCACAAGATGTCTCTCCGAATAAAGGCAGTGGTAGATAAATTTGTCCAGGAGTTGCAGGAAGCGTTGGATGCTGATATTCAGGATAGGATCATGAAGGATAGAGAGATGCAAAGTTACATTGAAGAACGTGAACGTGAGGTTGCGGAACGTGAGGCTGCTTGGAAGGCTGATCTTTCTCGTCGAGAGGTATCTACTGATTACCCATTTCTCTCAAATTTGTAATCTTTTTAATTCTTCTTACTTTAATGTGCTCTCTCCTAGTGGGATAAGACTATTGCTGTTGTAATAGAGGTTGTGAAGTTTGAGAGTCTGTGTGGTTGTTGTTTTTCCTGTGTGAAGGTCTCAAACACACGTTCATTTCAAAGATACAGTTTGTTACTTCTCAGTAACTGAAGCCTTGGAACGTCAGCCAACTAAGTGCAACGTTTATGCAAATACCCTCTTTGTTAATCACGGAGCTTCTCAAATTTTGACCTGTAAAATTGAACGTTGTGTTCTTCCAAAAGATAATATTGAAAAGACCTATTAATAAAATACTCTTTTATCGCGCATCAATAATTTAACATTTTAACTTCATAATAAAGCAAAATAGAAATCATAATAATAAAGTTTGATAATACATTAGTACTAAATAAGATCAAACTACATAACCGATCAAATCATATATAACTTTATAAAAACTCAACTTATTAAAGTGATAACATTCTAAAAGGGAGTTAATTTCTTCAATTAATTTGAGTTTCCAGTGAAACATTTTGTGGGGTCAATATGAGGGCTAAAATTACTTATGATTTCAAACTCACTTCTTGATTTCAGAGTTTTCTCAAGTTTAATGTTTTTTAATGGATAATTAACTGGTTTGGCCTACCTGGAATCATAAGAGTTTACTTAAAAGTTTGACAACCGTGGTTGTAATGTGCATTCTACATTTCCTTTCGCATAGACTATGAGTAACTCCGATACCATTTTGAGAGAGCGAAGTCTAACCCTAACTTAAACTCACATGACTGATTTTTAAAGTGAGATTTGTGTTTACTTATTTACTATAATTTGATCTTATATCTAATCTATGTAGGCTCTTTAACACACTCTCACATGTCGAGAACTGAACATCTCAAGCGTGTGGGATTAAACTTGAGTAGGATAGGCTCTACATTACTTTAATACTCTATCTTAAGAAAGTGAAATTTAAATCTAACTCAACCTCATAAAACTAGTTTGGTAAGATGAAGTTTGCACTGGCTTATAAATCATAATTTGGCTATATTTCTAATCCATATTGGATATCCAACATATAGATGATGCATAACTATAGACTTCCTCTCAACTTTTGTTTTTGGTTCAAGTGAGGACTGACTACAAAGGTGGGCATTGGAGTAAGTCTATAGGGAAGGGGATGAACTGCATTACAGGGTTTATAGTATGTGTCCTACAGCCTGACCTGTGTCATTGGGACACTCCCCATAGCTATGCTTCTGATAATTTTTACATATAATAATTGTCTTTGTTATGCGAACATCTGAGGAAGTTGAACCCAAATTATTTTGTTACTGTTGCTGCTAGACTCTAGTAGTACATTGCACAATAATCAATGAAAGATGTCAATGGTTGTAAAATACTGTTTATGTTTGATCAGATGAAGTGAAAGAATACTGTTGTTCCTAGTTTAGTTTTATTGGTAAAACTCTGGTTAACTTCCTTTTATCAGCTGAGCATAGAAATGGCTGTGCATGAATTATGGCTTACATTTTTAGGTAGGTAGTTCTCAATGTGTAAATATAAACAAAAAAATGGGAATGTTAACTGTGTTTTACACTTCTACGGGGCATTGAAATGGCTTTGCATGAATTATGGCTTAAATTACTAGGTAGTTTTCTATTCGTCTAAAAGTACATAATTTTTTAAACAAGTCGTTATTAGATTTTTGTCTTAGTATTTGTACCCTTTCCTAAATTTTCTGCTAGGCTCCTCTGGTATTTATATGCAAGATCTGTGATAGCAATGTGGCAATGCCAATTTCACTTGACTTTTGACAGGAATCCTGTTATGTGACATATGACCTACATTTTTAAATTTCTAAATTGTGAGCTTGCATCTCTTGTTTTGGTGAATAATTGGCAAAGTGAAATGCAGTAGATTAATTTGAAGTTGATGATATATTGATATTGATGCAATTTCAGTGAACTGCTTCTGAAATTGAAGAAAGGAAGCAAACTGGCCTTTAGGCACTTGAAATGATACAAGGAAGTGATTCTTTAACTAGAACAATGTGAGGTTGATTATTTTGTACCAGATACATTGATATTGTCGAATTTTAGTCTAATGCTTCTGAAACTGAAGAAAGAAAGCAAAGTGGCTTTTAATCATGAACAGTTTTCGGAGAAATGATTCTTTATGTATCACAATCTGAATAAATGAAGCTTTTCATCCCCCAAATTTCTGTGTTTGACACATTATAAACCCCTTAGTAGGAGTTATGACTCAATTAATATTTTGGAACAAATCTAAATAAAAACAACAATCCCTAAAACTTTTGCTTCATGGTTGCAAGAAGTAGAATAAATAGTGTTAGAATTGCAAAAAAGGGTTAAGCAGTAACTTAAATAGCTGACTTGTAAGGTTTTAGTTACTATTATTTGATTTTTTCTCTAGTCCATATGAGATCTTTGACACATTCCTCACATCAAAGAATGAACATTTCAAGTGAAAAATTAAATATTTGTGGGTGAGTCCTATAACAGATAACATAACATCTTGGAATGACTTTGATATCATTTTAGAAAGTGCGGTTATAAATAACTCAATCCCATAAAATTGACTTGTAAAGTGAGATTTATAGTTTATTTAACCTTATTTTTAGTTAATGTGAGATCTTCGGTAAGTATCTAAAATCTGAATCATGACCTTTATATGAGATCTTGAAATTCCTTTGCCCTAGGAGTCTGCCTTTGGCCTATTGATTTAGTGAATGTTGTTCTTGCAATCAATTCATCAGTTGACACCCAGAGAAGCCCCTCTGCAAAATGTTTCTTCCTTAGACTAGAGCGTTATATTTTTCAGGCATTTCTACTCTACACCAAACTTCTTTTTACGTCTTTAATGACTGATAACATGTTTCAGACACGTTCCTGGGACCTAGTTTATGTTTTTGTGAAGATGTGTTATATCATTCAGTGCCCTATTTTACGTTGTGAAAATGTGTGCTACATTAATATTGTTGCATTTGGGAATATGAAACAAAAAGGATTGAAATTGACCGAACATTCTAACAATATTTCTATTTACCAAACAAATATCCATTGTATGAAATTTCCATTTATGACCTTGCAATTAAAGAACAAAAAATCAGACATCCTCACTGTCCTTAATTTTTTAATGTTCCAGGCTGAGATTGCCCGACAAGAAGCAAGGCTGAAGATGGAGAGAGACAATCTGGAGAAAGAGAAAAGTGTGTTGATGGGAACTGCGTCAAATCAAGATAACCAAGATGGAGCTCTTGAAATTACTGTAAGTGGTGAAAAATACCGTTGCCTCAGATTTGCCAAGGCAAAAAAATAAGGCTTTGCTGCGGTGACAAAAAGGAAATGTATGATCTTCACTTTTTCACCTCCCCCGGAAGAGGACTAGTGCTGCCGAGGAGCCCACACGCAAAGCCAAGCTCAATTTATGTACCTCTAGGAACAATTATTGAAATCAAAACTGTTCAGTGGTGGTTTATACAATTCCTGTTGGGATAGTGTTTTATGACTTGCTCAATTATTTTATTGATTTTTTTCTATGTTAATGCTTTGTTTTGCTGAAAATACAATTTTGGCTATATAATTAATTCTCAAAGAATAGTACGCGAGGAGATATTAGTCTGAAGTATCTATTGAGAAAAAATGACAATCAGCCAAGATAGTTTTGACAGCAGATTGCATGGTTTCTAAAAAGGAGTNTTAATGACTGATAACATGTTTCAGACACGTTCCTGGGACCTAGTTTATGTTTTTGTGAAGATGTGTTATATCATTCAGTGCCCTATTTTACGTTGTGAAAATGTGTGCTACATTAATATTGTTGCATTTGGGAATATGAAACAAAAAGGATTGAAATTGACCGAACATTCTAACAATATTTCTATTTACCAAACAAATATCCATTGTATGAAATTTCCATTTATGACCTTGCAATTAAAGAACAAAAAATCAGACATCCTCACTGTCCTTAATTTTTTAATGTTCCAGGCTGAGATTGCCCGACAAGAAGCAAGGCTGAAGATGGAGAGAGACAATCTGGAGAAAGAGAAAAGTGTGTTGATGGGAACTGCGTCAAATCAAGATAACCAAGATGGAGCTCTTGAAATTACTGTAAGTGGTGAAAAATACCGTTGCCTCAGATTTGCCAAGGCAAAAAAATAAGGCTTTGCTGCGGTGACAAAAAGGAAATGTATGATCTTCACTTTTTCACCTCCCCCGGAAGAGGACTAGTGCTGCCGAGGAGCCCACACGCAAAGCCAAGCTCAATTTATGTACCTCTAGGAACAATTATTGAAATCAAAACTGTTCAGTGGTGGTTTATACAATTCCTGTTGGGATAGTGTTTTATGACTTGCTCAATTATTTTATTGATTTTTTTCTATGTTAATGCTTTGTTTTGCTGAAAATACAATTTTGGCTATATAATTAATTCTCAAAGAATAGTACGCGAGGAGATATTAGTCTGAAGTATCTATTGAGAAAAAATGACAATCAGCCAAGATAGTTTTGACAGCAGATTGCATGGTTTCTAAAAAGGAGTAAAGAGGAGGAAAAAAAAAAGACCCTAATGCATATTCTATTTTTATGGTGCGAAAGAAATTTAGAGTACTAAAGAAAAGAAACGAAGGGAATACAAAAGAAAACAAAAAAAGAGTGAAAAATAGAATTGTTTAGATGATTTGAAAAAGAATAAAAATGAGTAAAAAGAAAGATGATTTTATTTGTTATTAGTAATTTTTTTATTATTATTAATACTATTAAATACAAAAAATCATAATCAGCTATATATGTAAATAATGAATTTTTTTACCCCGGGTCCATTATACTTTCAGCACAAATTCATGTCGTTCCACCCCTGCAAACAGTAAATAGGCTAAAGCAAAGTAAACAAAGGTTAAAAGGCTAGTTTTGTTTTATTAATTAATCGTAGTTACCACCCATTCAAATGTTATGCAGAAAAGTTGTGTGAAGCAGGCTGCAACTTATCTCTTTTTTAATTGAAAAAAAAGGAAAATAGGTAGGACTTTTGCCATTTGAGAGCCCATTGCCGATCAAGTTATTAATTGCACTTTTGTTGTTCCAGATGAGTATTAAAACTTTATATGATAAATTCATTTATTAAATATTTTATTTCATACTTTAACTAATAATTCTTTTTATACTTCGAATATAAAACCATATAATTATACACTCGTATAATTAAAATGAAAAATATCTAATAAATATATTTATCACCACAATTTTTATTACTTTTCATTCCATAATCTAATATTCAAATAAAATATTTCATACTTTTAAATTCAGTTTTACAAATTTAATATTTAATAAACGCTACTTTTACTATTTAATATTTAGCGATTCAGTATTTGGTATTATTTATTTATCATTTAATATTTATTATTTAGTAATTAAATTTTAATAATTTTATTTTAATATTTATTATTTCATGATTAGTAATTAATGTGTAATAGTTTGTCTTTAAAATTGAATAACTAATTAGTACTTAATATTTTTTATTTGAAATCCGGTATTTTATAATCAATATTAAAAGCTTAATGTTAAAAATGTTATTAAATATTTAGTATTTACGTTCAATGCCTAATACTTAATTTGAAATATGTATATTCTAATTTTAAATATAATTCACTGTTAAATTAGAAAATATTGAAAATATTTTAACGTGAATAAAACATTTCTAATAAACATATTTATAGTTTTGTTTTCAAAACTTTTTTATTGGAAAGAAATTGTAAAGGTTTAAAAAATGGTATTTAAAAATTAATAATGTGTTTAAAACGGTAATGTTTGATTATTTTAATATTAAAAAGCTAAAGTATAAATAGAAGTTTATAAACTAATTTCATTATTTAAAGAAACATCATCTTTATAAATCATTTTCCTAGAGTCTATCATAAAGTTTCTCACTCTCCGTTCTTTTATTTGAAGATTGAATACTACTAGAGTATCTTCACGATGAGTTCTCCAGTTCTAACTGATCAGTTTTTCCATTTGAGTAAGTTGATTTTCTACATTTTTTTGGTTTGTTTGTTCTTTTTGTTTTTTAATTTTTTTGCATGTGAGTTTTATTGCTTGCATGTGATATTTGAGTATTTTATAAGAATCTCTACTGATAATTGATCTTAATGGTATGTTTTGATCATGTTTGTGTTTTTTCTAGGTATAAATAGAGCTTCTTGTGCATTTAAGGGAATTTTGGTCTTTAAGTTATTTTAGTTGTCTCACGGGTAAAGGAAGCTACTTGCATTACTTTTAAGATATAGATACATTATAATTGTTAATTGTATGATTGTATTATGATTTGCCTTCATGATGAAGTTGTGATGAAATTTGATAGATTGAGTTGAAATTAAGTTTTTATTTGACTCACTTTGATGTTATATGATGAAATTTGAAAAATATTGTCTAATTGACCTAGTTTGGAGAAGACGAACGAAGCTAGGAAGAAACCTGCATATGGCAAGCTTGTATCGAACTCCAAAGGATCTCTTTTATTACGAGGAGATGATCTCTTTTATTAGGACAAAATGTTCTCTTTTATTTTTATTACTTTCTTTTATATTTATTTCATTTTTTCAACCCTCAATTTCAAACTTAGGTTATCTTTCTCCAAATAATCCAAAAATATAAAAAAAAAACAAAATCAAAATAAAAAAAATTAGTTTTATCATTAACTTGTTTTAATGTCTTTCAGACATGTTGTGTCGTGTAATCCTCTCTAGGTTGTAACCTTCAAAATCAAAATTAAAAAAATTAAAAAATTAGTTTTATCATTAACTTGTTTTAATGTGTGTGGTCGAGTCGTGTGACACCTATTTTCAAATGATAAAAAAAAATAAAAAATTAGTTTTATCCTTTACTTGGTTTTTATATGTGCTGACTCCTTGTGTATTGTGACATTCTTTTTCAAATAATTCCAAAATACAAAACATGTAAAATCTTTAAAATAAAAATCAACCAACATTTTGAAACAAATTTTTCAAATAGTTTTCACCAAAAAAACAATTACATGATCGCTCATTCTCCATTATAAATGGTGATACATATGATCAAGGTCAATTATTGTCAAAGTCCAGATACAAAATAATTTATAACTATTTCCAAACAGTTTTCGAAATAGTTTTTTCACAATACATAAAGAAATCACCATGCAACAAATAAATAATCACGTAATACTAAACATTGTTTCATCAATATAAATAAAGAATATAAAACTGTATACAATTATCTTTTAAAATGTTAGGAAAAAAAAGTTATATTTTGTTTATCAAACTTAATCACCATTAATATAATTTTTTTCAAACTCTAATTTAAATGTTTACTAATCCTTTCAAATCTTATAAATCTATAAACAATGTTATTTTAATCATATAAATCTTAATATTATAAATTTATTAAAATCTAGACTAGTCTTGATTATAAAAGTTATTTTTTTTAAAGTTAAATATGTTTTTAGTCCCTAAATTATTATATGATTTTAGATTTCATTCATCTTCGAAATTTTGATCCATTCTCATCCTTGTCCTTCTAAAAGTGTGATATTCAATCATTCATGATCAACGATGTTAATTTTTTTTCTAACTGATTAACGATATGCCACATGTAAGGTTAATTTTAATTTTATTTTTTATTGTAATTAAAACTAAAAGAAAAACCATTAAACTATAGGATTGAGAATCCCTTTTCTTCTTTATTCGTGTGGGTTCATTCTGGTGGGGGCACTCTTTCTTCCTTCATCTTCAACATAGTTATGGCCAACATCAAGTCCAAGAACCGTGTCACCTCTACCCAAAGCCAAGGTCGACAAAGCTGGCACTGGCTTCACTCTACTTCACGCGATGTCTTATTGACTTCTAGATCCATGACAATGTCAACCTACGAGACCCTATCAGCAAACCATGCGACTATGAAAAAACCGTTTTATCTTCAATGGAATCAATCCCAAATCAACAGGACACTTCTTCCGTTGTTACCGAACGGTAGAAAGCAGGAACATGTCGAGCGGTAAGGGAGATGAAGAGTACCGAACCATTGTAGACAATAAGGTTACCAAGCTCCCGAACAGCTGATGGCAGAATGGCTGACGGCTACCAAACGATTATAGGCGTGAGGTTGCCTAGCGGCTTTATACTACCGAACAGTTGTAGACAGTAAGGTTACCAAGCTCCCGAACGGCTGATGGCAGAATGGTTGAAGGCTACCGAACGATTATAGGTGTGAGGTTGTCGAGCGGCTTTATACTACCAAACGTTGGAAACATGGAAACCGTTTGGTTGTAGTGTTATAGTATTTTTGAATAGTTTGTTTTTCTGTTTTTCCTTTTTTCTTTGTATATATAGTTTGCTTCCGTTGTAACCCAAAATACTTTTTCTTGAATTCATTCACATTTTTTCACCTTTCTCTGGAGTTCTTGTTTTCTCTCTTTTCTCAAACACTCACATGGTATCAGAAGAAAGAAAATAATTAGGGTTCTTCTTTTGCCCCCTTTCTTCATCTCTTGTTCTCTTCTCATGGCTATCTCAATTTCTTCCACCGATCATCTTTCTAATCCTGCCCACCCTCTGTTTCTTCATCCAGGTGAGAACCTAGCCCTCATTCTTGTCAATCCTCCTCTCTCCGACACCAATTATTAACAATGGAGGCACGATATGCTTGTTGCTCTTGAAACCAAGAATAAAGACAAATTCGTTCTTGGTACCATTTCTTGCCCTCCTCCTAATGATGTTCTTCATGAAGCCTGGAAAAGATGCAACAAGATGGTGATCTCATGGCTGATGCGCTCCATGAATCTACCCATCAAACAACCTGTTATGTGGATGGATTTTGCGTACGAGATCTGGACCGATCTCCTTCAACGTTTTTCTCATGGCAATAAGTTTTGCATCGCTGATCTCCAAGAAGTACTTCAATCTTGCAAACAAGGTGATTCTACTGTCTCTCAGTATTATACTTGTCTTCAAATAATTTGGAAAGAACTTTCTTTATATAAGACCATTCTTGTCTGCACCTGTAATTGTCCTTGAAATTGTGACTTATTGACCAAGATTCAACAAGAGCGCAACGATGATTCTGTTATCAAGTTTCTCTGTGGATTAAACGATGAATTTTGCCAAGTCTGTTCTCAAATTATGCTAATGGAACCTATACCGACTCTCCCTAAAACCTTTTCTTTGGTCCTTCAACAAGAATGGGAATTCCATAATTCCATTAGCAAAACTAAATCTCCTTGTTTCTTTCATCTCATTCATGTTGATATTTGGGTCCCCCTTTCTATTACTTCCATTGATGGATATAAATATTTTTTTACCATTGTTCATGACTATAGTTGTTTCACATGGCTTCTTCTTTTGAAACACAAATCTGACGTTAAATCTTTACTTCAAAACTTCATTCTTTTAACTGAAAAACTAGTTTTCTTGTAAACTTAAAATTATAAGATCTGACAATGGAAAAAAATTTCTTCTTAATGATTTTTATTCCACCAAAGGCATTTTTCATGAAACTACTTGTGTTGCTACTCCCCAACAAAATGGCATTGTTGAAAGGAAGCATCAACACATTCTCAATGTTTGTCTATCTCTTCTTTTTCAATCTAAAGTTCCTAACATTTTTTGGTCTTATGCTATAAAGCTTGCCATTCATATTATTAATAGACTGTCAACACCTTTTCTTCAAAATAAATCTCCTTATGAACTAGTTTATTCCATCAAACCTGATTTTTCAAATCTGATAGTTTTTGGATGCTTATCATACTCCAGCTCTGTTACTACAGGACGCACAAAACTTGATTCCAGAAGCAACAAATGCATTTTTCTTGGATATAAATCTGGAACCAAAGGGTTTGTGTTGTATGATTTGCATTCACATTCTACTATTGTTTCACGAAATGTCCTTTTTCATGAACATATTTTTCTCTATCAAACTTATTTAACTTCACCGACTCCTACACATGATGATATTTCTGATGTTATTCTTTTTAATTTTCCAAATCTGACCCTTGTTTCCACTGCCCCAAATTATCCACCTAGTAACACTTCTAATCATACTTCTGATAGTATCATTTTTCCTACTGTTGAACAAAGAGTTTCTCTTAGAAACAAAACTAGACCTAAATATTTAGATCATTACTACTGTGGTACTACTTCTAGCATTACCTCATCCCATACTACCCTGTATCCTATGCATTTGTTTCTTTCTTATGATAATTGTTCTTCTAACCATGCTTCTTTTTGTCATAATATTTCTGCACAAGTTGAACCATTTTCCTTTAAAAAGGCCAACAAGTTTGAATGTTGGCAACAGGCTATGAATTTTGAACTTTCTGCACTTGAAAGAAATCACACATGGACTTTGGTGAATCTCCTTGCTGGTAAGAAACCCATCAGCTGTCATTGGGTATATCGTATCAAGCATAAAGCTAATGGCTCTATTGACAGATATAAAGCTCGTTTAGTGGCAAGAGGTTTCACTCAAACTGAAGGATTGGATTACTATGGAACTTTTCCCCCTGTTGTTAAAATCACCATTGTTCGTCTTGTTCTTGCTCTTGCTACTAGCAACAAATGGTTTCTTCATCAGTTAGATGTTGACAATGCCTTTCTTCATGGTGATTTAACTTAAGATATATACATGAAGCCTCCCCTTGGTCTTTGTCCTTCTACTCTTGATCTTGTTTGCAAGCTTCAAAAGTCTCTTTATGGTTTAAAACAAGCCAACAAAAATTGGAATCACAAACTCACATCAAAATTACTTTCTATCGGGTATACACAAAGCTTTGTCAACCACTCCTTATTTATCAAACATTCTCCCTCTACTATCACCATTATTATGGTCTATGTTGATGATATCCTTCTTTCTGGAAATAACTTGTCTGAAATCACTACTGTCAAAGATAATCTCCACAGCAAGTTTCACATTAAAAATCTTGGAGATCTCAAATATTTTCTAGGATTCGAAATTGCTAGATCTCAAGCTGGAATATGTATCAATAAAATAAAATACTGTCTTGAATTGATTTCTAAAGCTGGTATGTTAGGATGTAAACCTGCTTCCACACCTGCTGATCCTTCTGTCAAACTTCATGCTGATGACAGTATCCCTCTCACAGATCCTTCTTCTTACCAGCGTCTTATTGAACGATTACTCTATCTCACTAATATGCGGTCTGACATTGCTTTTGTCGTCCAACAACTTAGCCAATTTATTTATACTCCTCGCCAACCTCATATGCAACAAGCCATGAGGATCATTAGATATTTAAAGAATGCTCCTGGTTCTGGTATATTATATGCTACTGATAATTCCTTTCGCATTCATGCATACTCTGATTCCGATTGGGCTACTTGTGCTACCACTAGAAGATCCATCTCTGGTTTCTGTGTTTTTCTTGGAACTGCTCTTATTTCTTGGAAGTCAAAGAAACAAACCACCGTTTCCAAATCTTCTTCTAAAGCCGAATACAGGTCCTTAGCTTCTATAACTTGTGAACTGCAATGGTTGCAATATCTTTTAAAAGATCTGCATATACCATGTCTGACTCCTTACTCAGTCTATTATGACAACAATTCTGCTATTCACATTGCCAAGAATCCCACCTTTCATGAAAGAACCAAACATATAGACATAGATTTCCACATTACTAGACAAAAGCTTCATGATGATCTCATCAAGCTTCTCCATGTGTCTTCTACCAATCAAGTTGCGGGTGTTTTCACCAAATCTCTTTATCCTTCTCCTTTTAACACTATTACTTCCAAGCTAAACATGCATAATATCCATGTTCATCTTGAGGGAGGGTGATAGAGATCTTCACAGATTGCTTCTTCCGTTGTTACCGAACGGTAGAAAGCAGGAACATGCCAAGCGATAAGGGAGATGAAGAGTACCGAACAGTTGTAGACAATAAGGTTACCAAGCTCCCAAACGGCTGATCGCAGAATGGCTGAAGGCTACTGAATGGTTATAGGCATGAGGTTGCCGAGCAGCTTTATACTACCCAACGGTTGTAGACAATAAGGTTACCAAGCTCCCGAACGGATGATGGCAGAATGGCTGAAGGCTATCGAACGGTTATAGGCATGAGGTTGCCGAGCGGCTTTATACTACCAAACGGTGGAAACATGGAAACCATTAGGTTGTAGTGTTATAGTATTTTTGAATAGTTTGTTTTTCCTTTTTTCTTTGTATATATAGTTTGCTTCCTCTGTAACCCAAAATACTTTTTTCTTGAATTCATTCACATTTTTTCATCTTTCTCTCAAGTTCTTGTTTTCTCTCTTTTCTCAAACACTCACAAGATCCACGACAATGTCAACCTACGAGACCCTATCGGCAAACCATGCGACTCCAAACAACTGTTTTATCTTCAATGGAATCAATCCCAAATCAACAAACCAAACTATTGCTTATTGTAGTCATTCATATGAACGAAAAAGTAATTTAATGATTATTTTCGACTGAAATAATTCTAACCGAAATAGTCACTGAGTGTTTGTAACATCTACAGTCCAATGAGTTCTTTAACAGGGTCATATATTTTATGTCTTATCTGTATCCCAAAGAAAAAAAAATCTAAGATTGCATATGCTCCAAAGTTCAAAATTTTAAAGCTAACAAGCATTTTTAGAAATATGCATCATTGAACTCCAACATTTTGGTTGAATGTAAGAAACGACATTCATTCAAGCTGTTTCCACGTGTCCAATTTCTCTTGTTTTGTTAAAATTGGATGTTTCAGTATAGGGATATGTAACATCCCAAAAATACAATTTAAAACTATATAATAGAATAATCACATTTAGTAATATAAGAATCAATCTTACACTAAGAAGAACGTACGGTTATGGCCGAACAACCTTACAAAGTAGTACGGGAAAACAAAGCTGTACAGAAGTACAATTCTGACCGAACGGTCATACTTAGCAAAAGGGAAGGTGATTGAACGACCACCTTAATACAAACTAATCTACTGACCGAACGTCCTACTTTTCGGTCTTCACTTCTACCTCGACCAGGTTCTCCTCTTCCAGCGCATCTTCCAACAGCTCGTCTCCTTCTGCTCACATCCACACGGATGATCATTGCAATGACAAGACGAACGTACAAAAACAAGACAAGACAGGAAAACACAGGGTAAGCTTATGTAATTTAATTCATGTATAAACATAAATTTTCACACAATCAAACACACAAGATATATTTCATCATACGTTTTATACAAAGCCTAATGCTAGACTGACTGTCCGGACTGTATGAAATCTGTGTAGCTACGACGTTCGTACACCCGGGTGATGTAGTAATTGGGATACCCTCAATAGTTGCCACCTGAGGTTAGTCCTATCTGTCCAAAGTAACCCTAAGGACTAGGACCTCCTGTCGTTCCCACAGATGACCTATCCTCCTCTACGTGAGGACGAGTATTCACGGAACATCAGGATGAACCGCCAGCTTAGCATGACCACATTCATACTTTACCAATTCCAATATTCAACCATGAGTCGTTCCTCCCCGACACGCTCGTCCATAATCCAAACATTTCAAATCATATCACATTCTCTTTATCTTTCATTATAAATTATCTCAATTAAACCATTCGTTCAAGGATCACTAAGGGTACCAAATACCTCCAGTTCTAGAATAGATTAAGACCGAGAGGATTATTATCGGGTTGAGAAAGAACTGAGTACAATCATATCTCAAGGAAACTATCAGGACGAACGTTACTTGCAAAGTGAGCCAATTAAATGAACTGACTCTTGAGAGATTAAATGAACACTTCAAAGATGATGTTAATTGCTAAAACTCTAGGTCGAAACCAATGAATACAGGCACTTCAAAGAATAATACTTATAAGAATTTACATGATGAAACCGAACGTTAATAAATATACTTAGCCTTTGAAGTAGCTAAACACCAATAACCATCTGAATGCCAGTCAAAGACTGAACACTATATTGAGTGAACCCTATTGGGCTTGAACGAACGCTCTTATTATGAAGTTGGCTTAAGGAACTAGAACGAGTGCATGGTGTAAGACCAAACACTTGCTTAGAACGAACACTTGGTATACGACCAAGTGCTACTAAACTTATAGAGAATAGGTTTGATAAATATAATCATATATTATTTGAGTAGTGTTTAAGAATAAATAAAATATACAAATACACACACACACACACACACACACACACACACACACACACACACACACACACACACATATATATATATATATATATATATATATATATATATATATATATATATATATATATATATATATATTTAAATTTATCACAGAATACCCACATACAACTACACTTGGCCGAACGCTCAAGCATAGTATTAAACGCGAAGACGCTCGTCCTCAACTAGGATTCTTCCCAAATGAAAGAATCCAATTCTAACCAAGTTTATTAGCATTACCGAACGGTCAATGAGCGTTCAGTGACGAACGTACACTATCATAGGGAAATTTCATATTCAGAATTCATTTATATTGAACTCATTTCTTAACATATAGTTTCATAACTTTATACATTCATATCATAATCAATTTTCATACAATCCAAATATATCAACCATCATATATTAATTCATTCAAGTCAATGAACGTTCATGCGACACACATAATCGTACAAATTAAATTAATAAGCTTCCCTTACCTCTGAGCGTGAATGAACGTCCTAGAGACAGAACGCAGTTTTCCTGCATACAAATCCTTCTACCCTCATGCTCAACAATTCTTCAAGTAACTAAACAACAGACCAAAAATAGTTCAGAAAGAGACTATGAACTCGTGCAACCAGAACTTGGTTTGCATGTACCAGATAACGAACGACTGATGAGAAAAAGAACTTACCAGTTCAGAACCCGAAACCGTTCGGTTCAAACTGAAGCTCTGGACGCCGGAAAAGCTTCTACGGTGCCTGAACGGTGATCGGAGAATAGATAAGTTGAGATTTGGTAGAGAGAAGGGAGAGCTTTTTAGTGAGAAGAAGGAGAATTTGAGAATATCAGAGTTTGGAAAAGAAAGTGCATGCAAAGAGTGTGACGTAAACTTTCCAAAACTCAGTTTTGCTTCCCATGTCAAACGAACGTCCACTCATCCGTCGACACCTGTATTCCACTATCTGATTTCAGAATCCTCTTTGCTTGACACCTAGGGTCCGTTCAGAGGGATTTTTGGTGCGTTTTAAATGGTTCTGACAGGATACATATTGTTGCCATCATTTTCAATGTTGATTATGTTGTAACTATTGTATTTATTATTGAATTTAATACAACTCTTTTTAATTTTTTCTTATGTAGGAATTTAAGAGATGAAGCCAAAGGTGTTCCTTATATATATGTTGAGCCTTTAGAACTCCATGATGAAGTTCTCAAGTGCAATCCTGAAGCATTTGAATACAGCACTGGAGGTAAAAGAGTGCTTGGTTTCTGCCCCGAATATCACTAATGTGGATTTTGTTTCAAATCTAATGGAGTTGTTGTTGCTCATTGTTCTATAATAGTGTGACAAAAGTTGATGATGTGATTTCTTTGCACTTAGGAAAGTTTAGTCATGTTGAAATTTATTATGAAGAGAAACTGTCGTAATAGAATGAAGTCTGATTTCATATTGACAAATTACTGCCTTTTGTACCTTTCAAGATGGCTAATGTGATTTGTTTTTGTGATGTCAAACTTATAAAGTTGTTTACCTTTTCCACCTAAAACTTATGTTTTACTTTGCTCTTTAGGCTTTCCATTAAATAATTTAATGTCTGCTTATTGTTTATTGTATTGGTCAAGTTTCTCAGGTCCTCTTAATGAGCAGATCTCTGGCAGTGCAGTACCTAAAAAAAGGTAATCGGAATCAATTTTTTTTCCCAAGTCAGACTCAGAAAGACTATAATGCAACACATAGTCACCAGCTTGATAATTTTTCCACTAATGTATTAATATATTATATATTATAGTGTTAGTTGATATTTGATTTTCATTTTTAATTTTTCAAAATTGCATGGCAAGATATTTCCACGTTGTCTTCTAAAAAATCGAAATTAAAAAAGGGAGGCGGGATGGAATATCTATAGCACCTAATTCTACTGAGCTTGAAGGTTGGTGCATGCTTGTTTCCTAGAAATCTTACTTTCTGTTTGTTATCTCTATGTTTGTCATCACATTTATGAAGATAAACGTGTTGCTTTTGTTACATGCGTAATCAACTGGTATTTGTAATTTTTTTCTAGGTGCCCACATTCAAAGGTTTTGTGAGCTTTTGGAGGATTTATGCAGCAAATCTGAACTAAATAGTGATGACAAAGGTGAAGCAAAATGGTTGTCACTGCCTCTTTCTGATCTTAGATTACTTGTCAATGAAATAACATCTATTTATGAAAAGAAACTTCTGCATTTGGTTTCCATAGAAGTCTTTGTTAGACTAATAAAAGTTCTAGATCACTAGATACATAGACAGAGACCCTGTCAATTTGGGAATGTGATAATAGTGTAAATTCATGTTGCACTTCTTCTATATTACTTTGTATTGAATTTGTTTGACATGTTTGGATTTAGTTGATGTTGGATATGACTTCAAATTTTCCAAAAATTTATTAAAATTTAACTTCTATATACTATTGAGCTGTAAGAAAAAGCTTAATCAAAATAGCTATAAGTTTTTTGCAGTTACAACAATATAATCATAGAATCAAGTTTGGTAACTAAAACTCTATTTGTGAGTTCATTCACTTTCAATTTTGTGATATTGTTTAATAGGAATTTTCAACTTACCTATTTTCTTTAGGACATCAAGTACA